CTTTTTTACTGCTGCAGAGTATTCCATGGTATAAATGTACCACAGCTTTTGTATCCACTCATCTACTGATGGGCACTTGTGCTGTTTCCAGATCTTAGCTATAGTAAATTTTGCTGCTGTGAACATAGGGTGCATACATTCTTTCTGATTGGTATTTTAGGAGTCTTGGGCCAGCAGTCGCCAACCTTTCGGACCTCACGGACCACCGGTTGGCAACCCCTGTCTTAGGCTATATTACTGGAAGTGGGATTATTGAGTCAAATGGCAGTTCCATCTTTATTTTTTTGAGGAGATTCCATACTATTTTGCATGCAAATAAGTCTTAACACATTGTGGACGGATCATGATAATACTTGCTTCATATTACACAGTGTTTTACAAAGTATCATACTTTAAAAAGATATTATTAGCTTGTAAGAACATGTAATAAATACCTTCAAAATGCAATGGGTATTTAATTTTAAAGCGTTCCTTTAACATTTATGTAAAAGGTTTTTTGTACTTGTTTAATAGAAACTTATCTGGCCACTGGGTAAAGCTAGCAATAAAACTACTGGTCCGCAGTGTGTTAAGTGTTGGGATTTGAACCCAGAACTTTTTCAAAACATCAGAGTTTATTAGTATATCCTTTCTACTATCATGTGATTGTTCCAGTTTATTTGTTATTGTCATCTTCTGGAATAGAATCTAGTCTTACTTACCTTTGGTCCTTCTCAAACTGGGGTACACAATCTCTGGAGTACACAGAATAGTGTAGGGTGCATCTGAAGCTGCAGAATAAACTTGGCTCATTGTCTTGCAATGTCAGTTTTACTTGATGGTAAGTATTGTAAACATAGACTAAATACTGATGTGTTAAGGCAGTGTGAATGTTTAAGATAAAACACAAGGTTTGTTTGCCCTAGGCCTCTCTGTGCCCTGGGTGTATGAGTTTGGGTTAGTATGCCACTAGGAGGCACATGAAAGTTAAAGAAGGACTGTAGAAGTATATTTATTCATAGAAAGAGGGACTGGATAAGTTTATTTATCTGTCTTGCAGCAAAAGGAACAAGATTGTTCATCTTACCCTCTTTTAAGTAGAGCCACAAAATCACATCGATGAGTTGTGATATAAAGCACTAGTACTTTCAGGGCAAATAAATGATGTGCAGGACATTCTTCTGCTGAAAACTGGCTGTCAAAACTACTCAGACAATATGTTTCCTCTCTAGAAAGGGCTTTGGCCTTGTTTGGGGGCGTCGTTCCCCTCCCCAATTGGTTCTGTTCATGTGTGTTGGCAAGATTGATGCATATATGATGCTTTAGACCAGTTGATGAAACAATTTTGTCAGCCTTCTGTTGATTTTGTGATAATTTTCTCCAGTAAAATGATTCATTTCAAAAATTTCTCCCTAAGAAATAGTATTGCAATAGTCCTATTTACATGGTTAATAGGACACTGACTCACTCAATAAATATCCTATGACAGGCTCTATTCTATGTACTGCAACTATAGTTGTGATGAGTCCTTACAAGCTTATATTTTAGTGGGAGGCAGACGGATGACAAATATACTGGGTGTGGCAAAAGAGATTTACAGTTCATATGGAAAATAATACGATGACTAATAAAAAAAACATAAGAATAAACTGTATTTCACGTACTTTTGCCTCACCCTGTATGGTCAGGTAGTGAGTACTACAAAGGAAAATGAGATGTAGAGCTTCTCTTGGGGATTTTTACCATATTCAACATGAAATTGTCTGACTTAAGAAACGGGTAGTGGCCATTTTAAGGACTTTTTGTTCTCTGTTCCTTCTCAAGAAGTAATCTGTTATATCCCTCTTACTTTTCTGCTTGTGTAAGCCTCTTTTCTTTAAAGTTGAGTATCCTGATAGTTTTGTATGATATAAATTCATTTATGCCATTTCACATTAAGGCTGTTCTCAGCCATTAGTTGAATAGCTTTTGCATGGTTACAGATTCTTTCAACAATTTGATTATAGTTTATGATGCTTTTTTTGAACAGCCTTTTGAAGATCAAATTAAAATTTGCAGCCCAACAGCTGAAAATTATACTTTCACCTAGGAGATGAATTGTGCCTTCTAAAATCTAAAACCCTAATAGGAAAAAATACAAATTGATATTTTTGACACCAATAGGGTTTTGGTATAAGTTTTATTGTTTGTGCTGGATTCTTTGTATACTGTTTTTACATCATTCTCTTCTGAGTCAGAATAACAGAGCTGTCAGTAAGCTGTCTAACCTGAAGCATTCCTTAGACTCCCTTCAGTTAAATCAGATCTGGAAAGTAGCAAATTACTATAGATGGGAGCAAAGAAATATCTGAGCTTAAGATCTACACCTCTACTTAAGAGAATGTCTTTAGATACTTGGACAGCTCCACAGTTTTAGAAGCAGGAAGGTACTTTGGACTGGTCAGATGTATCTCAAAGGGGCTAATCCAGCTTGTGATATAGTTTGGAAAAATTTGGAATTTGTGTGTGTGTGTCTGCTCAGTGGTCATCTCAGTTGATAAACTTTTTTTTTTTAAATCCTCAGCTGAGGATATATGTGTTTTGTTTTTTCATTGAATTTTAGAGGAATGAAAAGAGAGAAAGAAAGAAAGCAACATCGATGAGAGAGATTTGAGAGAGAAACATCGATCGGTTGCTTCCAGTCCAGGCCTTTACCGGGGATCAAACCCCCCACCTTTTGGTGTATGGACGATGCTCCAACCAACTAAGCCACACCCGCCAAGGTTCAGTTGATAAACTTTTATAAAAGATTTCTTTCTCTTTTCTTGGAGTCGGGCAGACTTGTTCCCTTTTAGAAGGTCCATGTAGATCTGCTATTGTAGCATATTGCCATTGGTCGAAGGTTTCCTTTTGATCTGGATGAGCTAGAGCTCTGTGCAAACTCAGCTCCGACTCTTGGCTCATCCTGGCTGTGCGGCAGTGCGCATGTCCTCATGCTGAATCCCGTTAGCTCGTAGTTGTCATGGTCACTGTGAAGTCACAGGTTTCCATCCCTTACTAAGCTAGCATTGCAAGGACACGTGTCGTTCAGCACGAACTGAGCCCTGTTCAGCACTACTTCTGGCATAATAAAGTGGCCGAATATTAGTACTATTCTAAATGCTGTTTAATGGCTGCAACTGCTATGATTTAGGTTGGGGATTGAGGGAACTGTATCTGGTAGAACACTTGGACTTGGTTATCAGCTACAGAACTTTAGGAAAATTCTCCATTTTTAGCATTTGAAATGCCTTTTTTTTTTTTAGTAAGTATCTTTTTTTGTTTTTTATTGGTTTTTGAGAGAGAAACATCAATTGGCTGCCTCCTGCACGAATGAAACCTGTAACCTGGGCCTGGGCCCTGACCAGGAATCAACCAGTGACCTTTTGGTGCTCGAGATAACACTCAACCAACTGAGCCACACCGGCCAGGGCTGAGATACTCTTTTCCTGAAGTTGGCACCTCACCGTCCTTCGTCTTCCTGCATTCTGATTTATTTGGCCTCTAGGTGACATTATTTTCTTTGTGGAGAAAATAGTCTGAGTAAGGCAATATGGGGATGATGGGAAGTGGACAGCTTCAGAGAGACACTTAAAACACAGAATCTGCACACCTCAGGTTGAGATTACAGCCATGTCTTACATACCTACCACTTTTCATTCCTGGCCTTCACCAGCTCACTGGATAACAGATATCACTGAATTTTTACAAATCCTAGTTTTCCTGATTTTGTACCCTACCTGATAAGTAACAACTCACTGAAATGGTTAATAGCTAGTTCAGGATACATGACAACACTTTTCCTGATTTTGTTCAGCTTTCTAGTTTTCATTTTCTTTCTTGATTAATATCTGCATCATTCAGCTTGTCACAGTAGATAAGAGAAGCCACTCACTGGGTAATTGGCTCCCATCTTGCTGACATCTCCCTATTAGTCACTCATGCCATCACTATGCTATTACCGTTGTCATATTTTCAGAGAGGAGGATAATAACGTTCTTTAGAATCTTTTTCAGTCAAGAAGAACAGTGCTGAAAAAGCTTTAGTTTTGCTAGTTAGAAAGCATACTGAAATTTTCTTTTCCCTTTGCTCTCTGGACATATAGCATAGTTAGGTGAGCCTTTATATTTCCGGCCTCATGTCTTTAATAGTTCTTGGATCTTTTCTTGTAAGATCAGAGTTCTTGATTCTAGCTGAATTGTATCTGCTATACTGAACATAAAGAAATGAATATCGGGATTTCTTTTTAGTTTCTTCCTTGGTTTTAAATTAAATTGACGAATGGCCTGAGGAGGGGGAGAGTACATTCAGATCTTTTCCAGCTAAGATAATGTTCATATACTCAGAGATAATAAGATTGATTGCTAAGAAAATAAGGGCTATAATTGGACTTTTATTTCTTTTGGCCTAAACATTGTTGGTGAGGGTCTTTTTCTCAAGGCCTTTTCTTGAATTCAGCATATTTGATAAAACTGCTCTTTTTCTTTCAGTGTTTTTTTTTTTCCTTACCAATGAGTGCCAACCAAGTCCTTCTAAAGAATTCCATTTCTTTCAAGCTCGGATGGTAAACCTGACTAGAAGGGAGGACAATGGTGGGAGGGAGAAGGAAGGAGTTGACCCATATCAGAAAGTCACAAAACCAGATCAAAGTATGAGGACAACTGAGACATTTTGCATTCTCCCTGTCCATAGGAAGGGTTTTTCTTTCTACTCAAGTTCTAACTTCCTTTTTATTTAAGAGTTAGTTAGCTTCAAAGTCATCTCTGAACAGATGAATTGAGTTCAAATAATAGTTAATTCTCTAAGGCAATGTTTTTCAACCTTGTCTGTACATGAGAATCACTAGGGAAGCTTTTCAAAATTTGATGCCCAGGCTACACCCAGAACAATTAAACCATCTCTGGGGTGAGACTCAGGCATGACATCACTATTTTTTAAATTTCTGTCCCCCACAAAACAACAACAAAAAACAACAACATGGGGTTGTTCCTTGTGTAGCTAAAGCTAAAAGCCATAGTAATGAAACACAAAGTAGTTATTAGTACTCTTAGAATGCTTGAATTTTAGTCTAAGAAATTCCAGGTTTTTATGAAGAAAAAAACTAAAAACATCTTATAATCAGCCTACCTTTGCAGACTTTATTTTCTACAATTTTCCTTCCCCGGCTACTCCCCCCCACCGCTATCCTGTGCTCCTGTTTAATTGAACCATACTCCTCCTTGATTTGCTTTTATTCGTGTATGTGTTTTTCAGACTTTGTTCATTCCATTCAAGAAATAACCTCCCCCCCCCATTTTTGCTTTTTGTAATCCCACACTACCACCTTTTTGAAGCTTCTTTTTATTGTCTTCAGCCAGAAGGAGGCTCTTCCTTCAGAACTTCTCTTTTTTGCTCTTATTATTCTGCATTTGTGTTTTAATTCTCCTGCCTGTGGGCAAAGTCTGGGTTTTATGCTTCTGTGTATTCCCTTCATTGCCTGATATCTTTACATTTCTAGTAGTGCCTGTATCCCAGTAAACATTACATCAGTATTTGCTTAAATAAAAGTAATTTCATGCTTTTGTGATGTCATACTGCAGGTGTGTGTATTCTAGAACTAGGGAGAAAGCAGATGTATCTTTTTTTTTCTTTCATACTTTTACAGTTTTTTCAAATTGTTACTTATGATGACATTTTTAATTATTTATGCATGTGATTTTTGTTCCATGTCTAACCAGATTCTGGAGAGGTTTGGAGTACTCTGTAGCTTAGAGCAGAACATGCTTATTAATGCCAGTTAGAAGCATTTGCCCAGGGTTATTTTCTGTCATGTTGGAAATAAGACTTTGTCAGAGGTCTTGCTATTTTTCAATATAGGTTATGTTTTAGAGTTTGGCCACTCTGTTTATCTGTACATTGAGAAGATAAATCTTTCCCAAATCCTGAAGACCAATGAAAAAAAAATTTTTTTTAATTTTCATTTGAGGATATTTTTTTCTATTGATTTTTAGAGAGAATGAAAGGGAGGGAGGAGAGGGGAGGAGAGAGAGATCAACAGACAGACAGACATCAGCTGGTTGACTTCTGCAGGAGCCCCATTCAGGGTCAGGGATCCAACCTGCAATCAGGGTACATGCCCTTGATCGGGAATCGAACCCACGACCCTTGAGTCTGTGAGCTGATGCTCTAACCATTGAGCAACTGACCAGGGCTGCAATTTTGTTTTTTAGCACAATCCCAGTACCAAGATTTCCAAGTTTCTACACTGAATGACAGACAATAAAGGGAATATTGTTTTGTAAAGCAGACACAAGCCTTTGGTGATTCAAAGAGGAATTTTAGATGCACAGTGAGAACTAAGGAGGAAGCAAATGTGAAACTATAGCAAAAAAAGGTGTTTTTTTGCTTTTTAAACAGCATCATTAATTGTGTATATATGCGTGTTCTGTTTTTTTTCATGACAGCTATTCTCAGCTTCAGTTCTTCTTTAATGCTTTTGTTGTGGAAGACTGACTTCAGGTTGAATTATGTAAGAACCCTGCAGGAGCAGGGAGGGCTGAGACTGAGACCGTGCGGAATTATGTTCCTGCCACCTACCTAATTTCATTAAGCTAATTCTCCAATAGTCAGCATCATTTTACATGATCACCAAATAAATCACAGTATTTCTCAGTAGTATTGACTGTGAGAGAGATTTGCCTTCCCACTTCCTCACCAAATAGGACAGTGGTTCTCAACCTTGGCTGCACATTAGAATCACCTGGGAATCTTTTTAAAATCCTGATTTCTGGGCCTCATCCTCCGGAAATTCTGTTTCTTTGTTATGGGATGGGGCCACAACATCAGTAACAAAGAAACAGAATTTCCGGAGGATGAGGCCCAGAAATCAGAATTTAAAAAAGATTCCCAGGTGATGTGCAGCCAAAGTTGAGAACCACTGAAATAGGATATCTTCCTATCCCAGCTGTTTTCTTTTTTTAGGAAAGTTCTAAACTCTAAAAACCACTCTTGTTCCCCCTGTAATTTTTGCATTTTAAAATTGTAACTCAGTACTGGTTTGGTTCCCACCTTCTCAGAGGGGCAGCAGGTTTTGTAGATCAAAGCTCATTTTAGTTTTTCTTTTCTTTTTCCCTTCTTTACATTTCCTTTCAAAGAAAAAATAAAATATTTTCAAAATACTGCTGCTTGGCCCTGGCTGGTTTGACTCAGTGGATAGAGTGTCAGCCTGCGGACTGAAGTGTACCAGGTTCAATTCCGATCAAGGACAAATGCCTGGGTTGCGTGCTTGATCCCCAGTAGGGGGCGTGCAGGAGGCAGCCGATCAATGATAATCTCTCATTATTGATGTTTCTATCTCTCTCTCCCTCTCCCTTCCTCTCTGAAATCAATTAAAATATTTTTTTAAATATTACTGCTTGAAGGTAGAGCTTTTTAAAATAAGCAGATTTTAAAATTTCTGTTTGGGTTTGTGCCTATGTACCCCTGTGGAAAGATTGGATCTGAAACATCTGAGAGATGTCCCAGCTCCATCTTCTTTCCAAGTTTTCTCAAAACTCCTACACACCATCACTGTCATTACTTGGTTCCCCTAGGACCATGGTCGGCAAACCGCGGCTCACGAGCCACATGCGGCTCTTTGGCCCCTTGAGTGTGGCTCTTCCACAAAATACCACGTGCAGGCGCACACATACAGTGCGATTGAAACTTCGTGGCCCATGCACAGAAGTCGGTATTTTGTGGAAGAACCACACTCAAGGGACCAAAGAGCCGCGTGTGGCTCATGAGCTGTGGTTTGCCGACCACTGCTAGGACATATTTCTCTGCATTCTAGAAATTCTTTCAGCTTTGGGACATAACTGAAGAGCGTGTATTCCAGAAACTTGGTAGAGCAATTTACAGATTCTGTATGGGCATCTAGTACTTAGTTAAATGAACTCTACCTCTCTCTTCTCTCTCTCCTTTCTCTCTTTCAGCTTGGCAGTGACCTTGGCGGGGGCATTGGAGGAAGTCCGGCAGTAAGTGCCATCCATTTTTTTTTTTTTTTACCATGGGATGCGCTGCCCCCTGTTTGATGCCTTTCCTATGCACACATTCTCAGACCAGCCACTATCTAGCACTATACACCAAAACTTTTATAGCAGTATATGAAAAATAGAGAGTAGCATAGGGATACTTGGAATCTTTGGGGTCATACATCACATGTGGCCTAGGGGCATCTTTAGGGATTGGTGCTCTAGTATTTACACAGAGCTTTGTTTTCCTGACATTAAGAGCTAAATGGAACCTCCCATCTCGACTGGCTAATACCTTTATTCTCTGGTGTCATCTTAAAACACTTAACAGAGTCCGTTGGGCTGAGAGTGAGACTCTCCTTGTAAGTTAGTTCTGGGGATGGGAATATCCTCCTCCCACAGGAGAGTTTCCTACTGGATATTTATGCCTAAAAGGGAGAATAAGACTTGCCAGACCCCGTGGGAATGGATCTGCTAAGTTGGATGCTTCTCCTTCTTTCTGTAGAAACAAACTTCTCCTATAGGGTACTTAGAGGCCTTTTGCACAGAATCATGGAAGCTAAAATTGGAAACAAATAAAAAATCTTGGTCAGTGTGTTTCTAATCCTACTGATTACTGTCTCTTGATAGAACCTAGTGTTTATCTTATCAACGATGATTAAAAGGACAAAGAATATACTAATTCAACTCCTAATAATATTTTGATTATGGTGTATTCTTATTGATTTATCAGTATTACTGAAATATGTAGAAACATTGTAAGGGCTATTAATCTGTTCTTCCTGATCCGCTCCCCTCCCCTTTTTTTCTTTGCAGGTGGGACAATCCTTCATTCCATCATCAGTGCCTGCAACCTTTGCTCCTTCACCTACTCCTGCTGTGGTCAGCAGTGGTCTGAATGATCTATTTGAACTCTCTACGGGGATAGGCATGGTACATGGTGGATATGTGGCTCCTAAGGCTGTAAGTAAAACAACACTTTCTTTATAT